ATGACTTTACCCTAAGGGCAGAATTTTCCGCAAAGTAAGCCCAGCATTCAGTGATGCACATACCTTTCATTTTGGTGCAACGCAGGGGTCCAGGCTTGTAGTTGTAGGTAGTGCCGCGTGGTTGCAGATCTCATGCTCTTCCCCAAATCAAATTCCTATGAAAGCCCTACACAACCAGCAACACCCGTACAGAATGCCTGCAGGCCCCCTCCTCGTGCAGGAAAAGTCCATTGCAAACTATCTTCTCGGAAACAACCATGAAGAGCCCTATGTTCAAGCTAGCATCTGCTTTCGCCATTTTTGAAGCCTTCGACCAAGGCGCTTCTTCATTGGACTCCACGGGGGCTGGCGTTGCTTCAGCATAGCCTGGCCGACTCCATCAGGGTTTCTACAACGCCGCTCGAGGTTTATGAAGTCTACGGCACGAATGCTGTAGGGATATGGCTCGGAGTGTAGCTTGCGTTTTGCAAAAAGGGCCTGGGACTCATTCTTCATGATTTGGGTTTGAGCACTATTCTGACGAAGCACGGCATGAGGAGATGCTACAGTCTCGCAGGGTTGACGGCACAGCGCGTAATGCCCTGGGCTTAGAGTTCAGTCGTTCAGGTCAGGGACTAAGGGCCCAAACCTTGGGGAAAGGAGGCAAGGTTTCTTGCGTGACAAGCGAGTCCTCCAACCACTCTTCAGTGGGGTTGGGGATACGCCCCTGATGAAGCCTAGTAAGGAACCTACTAAAAATCCTGTCCATTGAGGACGACCTTGTGCCTTGCGGGGGTGCTCATGGGCGCCATACTAGGACAAATCAAGTATGCATAGACTTTATGCCATCCAGTGTTTCGATTACAGTTGAAGGCCCACTTCATATACTTTAGAGGAACATGAGGACAGGCCCTGGCTAGGTGGAAAAGACGTTCGTGACTAGTCAGCCTCCTATCAAACCTACATATCATCCTGACTCCGAACCCATTTCCCTTACTTACTCCAGAACCATGTGACCCCCTACGTGTTCCCCAACAAAGAAAGCCCATGACGATTAATAGGCTCTTGAAAGCATATAGCTTGCAAATACAATCCCACACGCCTGCCGGATCGCCGGCAGCACTGGGCGCAGCATCGGCCCCGGCATCCGCTACAGCTGGAATGCTGAAGCTCCGTACCTGTAACAACTAAGGACATTCAGCATGTCAACCTTAAAACACCACTCATAATACAAGAGATATAGCGCTCAAACAAACAGAAATTCAAGTCGCGGCACTACAATTAGCAGCAGCAGCAGAAGGGGGAGTGGTGGTCGTAGTGGTAATTGTTGGTGCTGCTGTTGTGGTAGTAGTGATCGTGTTCGCGGTGGCAGTGGCGGCGGTGGCGGACTGGGGGTGGGGTGTCGTGCGGCAGTGGTGGTTCCACTCAAGCTAGCAGAGCCTATACTAAGAGTTCACGGCACAACCAGCCGCTGGAAGCAAGAAATTGGGCGGCGGCTGCAGCAGCCCTGCCAGACGGAGCAGCAGGAGAAGGAGCAGGAGCAGCAGGAGGAGCAGCAGCAGCAGGAGCAGCAGCAGCAGCAGGAGCAGCAGGAGCAGCAAGAGCAGCAGGAGCAGGAGCAGGAGCAGGGGCGGCAGCAGCAGCAAGAATGGCAATGTAAGCATGAAGCCCCGCAGCAAGGATGCGAACGACCACGAAAATACTGGGAAGCAGAACAGTAAGCTTCGAGGAAAAATACAAAGCAAGATGTGTCTTGCCATTCAACACGAACGTGTGCCGAAAAGTCTTGACTATAGTGTGACACCCTGACTTTGATGGTAGCTTTCTAAATTAAACGCAACTTGAATCTTTACCCCACATGTAAGGACTCGTTCTTTAGGGACCCCATGAGAAGGACGAAAGTTGGTGAAGCACCAGCCTAAGGTTTATCACTCCCCTCCCCCTAACATTAGCCGCCCCACATGCTACAATCCCATTATGGTATTAATATGGCAACATTTTGTATCAGGGGAGGGGCTTCAATATCAGTATGACGGGATTAAGCAGACACCCAGGTGCAGCCATTTCTCCTGTCGCCTCTCCTTAGGCTTCAAAATCTGGGAGTCAAGGTCTGGGCTTACCTCTGGTTAGCAGGGAGTTAAAGAAGTAGCCCTGCCACCTTCCATGTAAACAATACTTTTGCTTCCCATCTCAGGCGAGGGGCATACCGCGGAACAATGAAATGCCATGGGAACTTGAGGTTGCTGAGCCTCTACTTCACTCAAAATGGAAACTACCATATTCTGGGAGGTACATACGGACTGCTATAAGATTCATTCCCTCCAGGGCGCAAGGTTTTGCGGAGTTAGGTGTATGTTAAACTCCTAGTATCCCCCTTAATAACGCTCATCTTCTCCCCTATATAATCCCTTTTCAGCCTGGGTAAGGAGTTTAGACTATAGATCACGCAGGAGAAGCGGGAACCTTAAAGCAGAAATGCTCGCCCCACAACGCAAACCCCATGTCAGAGCAAAATGCAAAAAGCTGACCTGTGAAGCTTGCCTCAGTTTCCCGTGTTTGCTTTCTGTTGCTATTGTCATGCATGCATGGTTGCTAATTACTACTGTTGCCGTTCAATTTCGTTTTGTGAGACACGCTCGTGGGATGGTGACTGTACTGCGCTTCTTTTTGTGGCCAGGGTGGCAGAATCAGGACAGCAATGCCAGAATTCCATCAGGAGGGCTAGCTAGAGCACGTTTGCTTCAAGGCCAGTTGTTAATTAAGCGCCTTGCAACCCACGTAGTTTCCATAGATAGGGGGACCCCAATATGGACCTCCAAGTACGAGAATCCTCATTATTGGGATCCCCAAAATGGTACCCTAATTTTTCGCGAGCCCAATTTCCATTGTAAACCACTACATACACAGTTTCCATGTAGTGCTCCATTTTGTTTTCGCTTTGGTTCTCCGTTGTTATTAAGGGATGCGATACTCTGAAACCTATGCAGCCCACATACATACGTGTATATACACATACATACATGTATATATAAAGGTTTACGCATGGCCTATATGACCCCCACATAGAGTCTAAGGGCCGGATCCTGGACCACCAAGTCAACTGCAAAGAGCCTACCTTTGACCCTAAACCATAGCTGCCAGGATTGAAGTACTTCAGTTGCAGGCCAACCCCAAACCCTAAACTCTTGAAAAAGAGGGAATTTGTAGGGGGGGGTGGAGGCGTGCCAGTAAGGAGGGGCATTCTATTTGGGAGCATTTATGGGAACCTCTAGTTCGAAAACTCAACCCAAAACCCTAGGTGTTCCCTCATCCCTGCAACCCAAAGCCCTAACACCTAAACCCTGAACCCTCAACACTAAAGGCGTCAACATCACTTCTTTGGCCTCTATGTGTTGAATTAAAACGTCCTCTATTCGGCTCTCCCCTGGATATTCTCACAACCCTAGCCTGGATGAAGTAAGTTTGAGGTTCAGGTCCCCTACCGGTCTCAGGGTTTTTTGTGCAGCAACTATCGCCTAGATGCCTAGGCTAAATTAACGTAAACGGCAGTTTTGAACGCAACTCCTAGTGATACAAGGGGATCGAATCTATAATCCCTTTAGGCCTATAACAAACATTTGTTTGATGGTCCGTTGGGGTTCTACTACAATGAAACATTCCCAAGGGAGTAGTGGGACCCCTCTTGTGACTTGGCCGAGGCACGGTGGAGGCCGCCAGGGGCATCGAAGGCTTCAGAGGCAACTCGCATGCAAGGAACTCGTGATAGGGGTAAGATTGAAGGCAGGAATTTCAAAAAAAAGGTGTCCCTTTCTATAACTAGGATTGTAGTATTTTGGGGTTTATGTTGGGGCCGACTGGGCGCCCCTTTTTATGCAAACCCCAAAATCTTGCATAACCTTGAGTACCTGCTACCTTGGGCATAACGGCATTCTAGTATTCTCAGGTCGTGCAGGACCTTCAGTAATAATAGAGATAATCCGTGCCACAGGTTTGGGGCGAAGGGTTGTGCGTTTTGGGGAGTGGTGTTTGTGGACAAGGGGCTATATGTAAGGTTAGGGCCCCCATGGAAGCGTATCAGATGGGGGTACTGACAACAAGGCACACAGACGGATTACATGGGCATCGTGCGGCAATACTGTCTCCAAATCGTGAGCCCAACTCCCACGTAGTCTGAACACAGAACCAAAAGCATTAGCCAGAAATTCCGAGCGCACCGCAAATCTAACTGCAGGCAGCCGCAAAAACAGGCATCTCGAATCCAAAGCCCCCAACCAAAGGCCACCAGGTGAACCAGCCTGCAATCCCTGGTTCTAAGCCTGAACCCTAGATGGACCGGACTCCCTCTCACCTGGCTCTCGTTCGTGCAGCACACCTTCAGGCTTGCCGCAACTGTTGTGAGCATTAAGGTTAGTTTAGGGGCAAGGCGTTTGGAAGGATTCAGGGTCAGGTCAGGCAGCCCAATACTTTCGGCCATTGGCCCTGGTGGTAAACAGGAGTTTGTGGCCTTAAAGGGGATGCGCAATCCTGCATTAGGACGTGCCTTTCAGAAAAGATGAGCGAGTTCCATGAGTTCCCACTCCCGCTAGACACTAAACGAACTATAAACCAAAGTCCGCTGCAGCAGGATTGGCGGGAGGATTGCTACGTGCCAAAAAGACAAGCAAGGCCAGGAAATCGATCATGTCTATCACAAAGGAGGCGTTGTTTCAAGAATCTTTGCGCATCAAGTATGCAGTGTTTTGCCCTGAAGTGCGCCACCAACTTTGTTGCTGCCACTGCGAGTTGCTCATGGCAGCTGCTGCTTACATCAAGAGCCGTGAACACTTGACACCGACATCGGCTTCAGATTTCCTCACGCTTTTTTCTGCCTGTCCGCTTGTCCAGCTGGCCCCCCCTACACAGAAAGCTGGGATGTACAAGCAGTCAAGCGACCCCCGGGCCGTGCTTCATCTGCGAGGCCGGTCAGCCGGTCAGCCCGCTCCTCAACCCTGTGGCGTAAATCTCAGTCAGACCCATGACTCCTACCGAGAAGCGCGCTGCTCTGGTACGGTTTCACTCGCCGGGTCATTGTGCACGCCATCGGGTTGCAATTGGCCAGTCTGCAGAGTGTCATTCTGGGCATCATCCACCTGCGTGTGGTGAGTTTGGCCGTCATCTCCTTGTGCGAGGTCGTCGCGGCCGCCATCTGGTTGTGCACGCTTCCTGTCCTCACCCCATACTCAAGCAAACAGCTTAAGCGCAGTTCCTCTCGAGGGCAAATAGACCCAAAGAGAACCGACTCCGAAACCACAATATCAAAAACTACATACGAAGCACAATGACATGCTGTGCTTCTAATTTCGAATGGCCCCAAAGGTAGCGGATGTGATCTTCTGTAGATCTTAGCTGCAAACCAACACGGTACGGCCGCCAGTGAACTCTAGCCCTTAAGAAATTATAACAAACACAGAGGAAGCCTCCCGACAGGAGCTGCTCTACAGTGGGGCAAACAGCAGCCAGTAGTCTGGATGTGGGGCATGACAAAACCGTGTTCAACAAACAACGACACCTGCGAAAGAATGCGAGCGACAGTATTCACAGTGCCTTTACTCCTACATACGACTATTGCTGGCATTTGGGTGACTGTCCTCTCTAACCATCACCAACATGCCGCCACCGCCACCGCCGCGGACATTTCCACAGCCACCACTGCCATTGCCATGACCACCACCACCACCACCACCACCATCACCACCACCACCGCCGCCACCACCACCACTGCCACCACCGCCACCACGCCACCGCCATGGCCACCATCGCACCAGCACCACCAACACCACCCACCACCATCCTTGAACACGACATCATCCCTGTATAACCCCCTATACATCCCCTATATACCCCTATATCTCCCCCTATATAACCCCTATATAGCCCTGCAACCCCACATACAGCCCCTGGTAGAGCCCTGAAAAACTACTACAAAAACAACCTTCTGCGACTCAACGTCGAGCTTGCGTACTTCGCCCTGGTCCATGTCCATGTACCTTGAAGATTGAAATGGGTTTAGGGTCTAGGGTGTCTCATGGAGGGGGCGGCGGTGCTGATAGCACCCAGGCGCGCGCCCCGAACTGTACGAGCTTCTTATCTGTCTTTTCTGTCTATACCAGGCGGGTGCAAGGTTTGGGCCGGGTCTGGCTCGAGGCTTCTTGCGTTTTTGAGATTGAGCCTTGCCTGGAGGCCTTGAAGCCTTGAACCGGTCTGTCCAGATTAGACGGGTGCAAGATTTGGGCTTGGGTCTGGCTCGCGTACGCAGCCTTGGCTGGACGTCTCCAATCCTGAACGAGTGGTCGCTGGCAAGTAACCCACCGTTGACCGGAGCGATTTCAACTGGGCCCCCTCAGGCCCTGTCTGCTCAGAACCAGGAGTGGGCTGAGAGACAAGAACCCTCGAGCCAGCCCCAGCCCAAAACCTTGCACCCACCTGGTCGACAGGTGCTCCGGAGCTGCCTCGCCTTGCTGGCTTCGTTGCGCTCGCCCTGCTCGGCGGCCCGGGCTTACTCAGTTTAGGGGTTTAGGGTTTAGGGGTGTAGGGTTTAGGGTGCGGTGGAAGTCTGTAGAGACCAATTGTGCTGATTACCGTGATAAAAACGCTTGCGTGACCTTCTTAAACTTGGTGCTTTCGGCACCTATGAACATGAAAAAATTGATTCAACAACAACCAAGGCACCTGACAGAGGGAACACCTGCCTCCTGCATCAGTCGCTGCAAGCCTGAGCTATCCCTCTTCAATTGCGTGTGTAGGAAGAGAGGGGCGTGCATGTATCCATATATGAGAGTGTGTGTGTGCATGTATGTATGTATGTATGTATGTATGGATGGATGGATGGATGGATGGATGCATGCATGTAAAGTGTACATGTCAAACTTTGCTGGGAGGACGGCTTAAAATTCAGGGCCCCTACTACAAAGCGAAAAAGTGCGCAAAATGCTGCCCAAAGGCCCACCTCGCCATCCTGCAAAGTAAGTGCTGCGTCAGCCAGTATTCTAAATGAGATTCTGGCTGGTGAGGAAACCCATCAATTTATTTTCACCTTAAACCTATCATAAACTCAACCTAACGCCATCCTAGATCTCCGCTCTTCCTCCCCGTCACCCTCCCCTCTACATTTCTTGTCCAAGAGCACGTGAACTACGGCACTCAGACTACACACAGCAAACGGCCTTTGCTTTTGCACCTGCTCTTGAGGGCTACCATGACCTGACACCCCGTATGCAAGAGCGCAAGCTAGCCTTCCCACTAAAGACCCGTAGATCCAAGAAACCTAGGACTAAGCTCGCCAACAAAGAGGCCCCATGGTCAACGCTTTCGAAAGAAGCCCCCCTGTGACTTTGAAGTCCCAGATCATAGCTCTTAAAGAGCGAAGAGAATGCCTGGAATGAACCCTGGAAACGAGAGGCTCAAATCTTAACTGTATTGCGGCCTGTAGGAATACTCGAGCAACAACACAAATACGATGACCCCTGCAACCTAAGCCCTTTTTGCATCCAGCCTGCAACGCCTCTGCTGGGAACAGCTCTCAACCTAAACTCTATATATATATATACATATATGGAGGAACATCAGCCTAATGGAAAAGGTGTTTATGTAGAGTTTTTCTTTGGGCATTAATAAAGGCCCTTAGGGGACCGAGAGTTCAGGCTCTTCAACTGAGTTATAATTTAAACTCCTTTAAGGGGGTTATATAGGGGGATCTATAAACTCCTTAAAGGGGGTTATATAAGGGAAGAATATATAAACTCCTTAAACTGTGTTACATAGGGGAACATATAAACTCCTTAAGGACGGTTATATTGGGGACCATATAGGTTTAATGACTAGGGGAAAGTCTGAAGTGCAAACCCGAACCTGTCTTGCAATCTCCAAGCGTCGTAGCCGAAGGGGCCAGGCTTTGCCAATGGAGCGATGAAGGTTACCGGCGCAGCAGGAAGACAGGAAAGGAACTGAACCTTTGCTTGTGCTTTGCTATGGAAAGCTCGAAAGCGCTATCTGGAGCCGTGTCTTGATTTTTGATACGTCACAGCAGGAGCAGCAGACTATACAGGGCTGTGCATTTGCTCTTGGAACATCTTGGAACTAGAGATATGGGGGGTGGGGCCTTAATTTCAGGACTTTTTACCAGCCAACGCGTAGGGCTTGCAGGACAAAATTACTTTCGGCGTTGGGGGATATGCATTGCTAGCACCGTGCTGGTGCAAGAGGAGCTCCAACAAGGTGGATGACGTCACGCTCAGGCGAAATGCTGCAGAGGAGCCAGTTCCAGGTACGAACAATGGTCCGAATATGCCTGATTTGTCATGGAATGTTTCGACATGTTTTGGGAATACGACTGTGGGGATTCTAGGGGCTCCAGTGTAGAAGTTTTACATGAAGACGGTTTGCGTTGACTTCTCGCCCAAAAACTATTGGCCATCTACCCGGTTTCCTGCACAACTGGCGTAATTATGCTGCAGATAGATGTCTGTATGCCATGGCTTTTTTCTGCGATGGTCTACCCTTACAGTCTGCCAAGACCCTCCGTCGTTTGTTGACATTGACCCAGTCACAGACACAAAAAACATGCGAGGCTGATTTCGAGATTCCCTTACTCATCTGCAAGCCGTGACTGTGAGGCATTCCCAAACCTTGAATGTCAACGTTTCCACCCAGATGCGTAGTTGGCAACGCCATCGTCGCTGACGTACACCGCCGTTTCCTTCCCATCCACTATGTGATAGTCCCAGAAACCTCGGCTTGCTATGGTAACATAGACCCGCGATTGATCAACCCCCTCTCCTTAATAGGGATTATAATAGGGATCCTAGTTTTAAGGCACTGAAACAAGGGGTTTCTTAATCAGGGGTTTGCATCATGGGATTTTAGGCTTGCAGGCAGCGGCTAAGTACAACACTTACAGGACAGGGGGTGTGTGACTCTGGCTTTGGAGTTCTCCAGACAAACGAAACCTTTAGCATGCCCACTCCGCCAGGACACACATTATGAACCCCAGCGCTATGGAGCTATGCGCATTTTCAGGATCATGTGAACAGTTCTCAACTTCATGGCTGCGTACATGCCAGAAACCGATAGCTTTCATGTAGACACCCTAACCTTGTCTAGTCAGTGCTGTGCTGAAGGCTGTAAGCATGTCGACTACGATTCCCTTGCTTAACTAGGTCCTTGGCTGGCGAAAGATCCCCTGACAACCCACAAAAGACACGGCTGAGCAGCCCGGCACACAGTCTTCCTTTGGTGTTACCTCGGCCCATCCAGAGGGAGCTATGCCATGTGCCGGGACGCCTGATTCCTCAACTCTTGCGAGTTAAGCAAATTTGGAGAAAGTAGCCTGTTGCACCGCAAAGCTCAAGAAGATAGGAACCCGATGCTCAACACCATCTGAGGCTCAGTGGTGTGCCAGAGAGCCTTTCGAAGGTTCCTCCGAGAAACGGCCCAAATGCAGCCTTGTGCTCCCCTGCGCCGCCTCAGCATTCCCAAGAAATTGTTCTCAATGGATTCCTGCTATAACGAAGCCCCAGTTTCGAGATCTGTTGCACTGGTAAGAATTGAAGAAACCGCCATAGCAGCCAAGCAGCAGCTCAGAATCTGGAGCTGTCCTGGGTTCTGCGTAAACCGATCGCTGCACGCTGATGTGATGTGGACTTAACCATATCAAACTTTATAGCTTCTTTGGGTGCTTATACAGTATACTTGGGAGACTCAGCAGGCACTACATCGTGCACGGGTACTATTAATCTCATCCACGTAGACCCTTTATATCACCCTGGTGCAGTTGCTAAGCTACAGTGAGAGGAGCTCTGACAAGATCACGAAATGCCGTCTCAACAGAATACGTTGGCACCCTCCCATACATGCAAAGTTTTTGGGTGAGGTCACTAAACCCTCGCCCCTAAGCATCTACACCCCCAAACCGAGCCTGGCATATCCCCAGGCCCTATAGCAATACGACACAGTATGGCAATCCCCCTGCAAAGAAGCGCAGTACAGGGCAGCTGATACGTACGGAAAACCCAAAGGCTAGGTCAACTAAATCGAGTCTCCTCATATTTCCCAAACTGTCGCAAAAAAAAAACTTTCGCATAACAGGTTCATTTTCCAGATGCTATTCCTCGAGCCAAACTGTTGCATTTTCGAATTCACGGCCCACGATCCAATCATCCAAAAATCGAAAAGTTCGCGAATTTTCGCGTTTTTGCACCAAGCCGAATCGCTTAAACATCGCTCATTGTTGTGCTGCCACATAATGCTGGTAGGTAGGGGGTGCAGCGGTGGCACCGCCATCACCGCCCCCAGCGACCGCCCACCTCCCCTCGCCCCCGCCCTCACCACCACCGAGACCACCGCCATGAAAACCATCACGACCACCAGCACGACCACCAGCACGACCACCATCACGACCACCATCACGACCACCATCACAAACACCATCACGACGACCACAACGACCACCACGACCACCACCACCACCACCACCACCACGACCACCACCGCCGCCGCCGCCACCGCCACCGCCACCGCCACCGCCACCGCCACGATCACCGCCACGATCACCGCCACGATCACCACCAACACCACCAACAACAACTGCTTCCACCACGACCACTACCAACAACGATGAGCAGACGCTTCGTTACTTCGTACCACCTATGGACTTACTGGGGCTCTCTCATACCCTACTAATCCCAATCAGTCTAACATCCCAATAGAACCCCCAACATACTATAGTAGTTTCCAATTTCTCTTCTAATACCCCCTATAAATAATCCCAACATACAAACTATTCCCTATGTAGCCCCGAACTAGAAGGCCCTAAGCCCTATAAATCCCAGAAGGGAGTCCAGGGATTGCATGTCTGGGTCTGGAAGACGCTGCTCGGCAGCCCAAGCTCCTCAGCCATGGCAGCTCGCTCCTGTCTCATGGGACTGATGCCCGTGAGGGAAAAAGGATAATGTAGACCCGTGATTAATAACTCCCCTCCCCTTAATGAGAATCAGAATAGGGATCCCAATTTTATGAGGCCCTTAAAAGGAGGGGATTTATTAATCACGGGTCTACATTTGCGTTTTTGGTGGTTTCAGGCCAAGGGTTTATGGACCAGTGTTTGGGGTTTCAGGGGAGAAGGCAAATGAATATGTTTCAGGTTATCACGGTCACAGTAGGGCATAGCGTCGCCAAAGTATAGGGGGAGTGCGGCTATACCATGCTACAAGGAGTGGGGACTGACTACATCGCCAGGAATAAAGTTTCGACCTACTGGGGCTGTGGGGCTTAAGAGGAGAACCGGCATGTAGAAAAGCAGCGCGTGACATGGGCCATGTTACGAAGTGACTTGTTACCCCGTTTTGGATTTATACCATAAGCTCCCGGTGGAATCCCCATGGTGCTCAGTGGAGGAGTCTACAGGGGAGAGGGGGGTCGGCTTGATGTGACGGTCTGACATAAGACAAGTAGGTCGAACTTTCGTCCTACTGCAGTAATGGCATATTTAATGATGGAACGATGCGAACATGGAAGCAACTTGGTTATGTAGCGCTTCAGGCTTAGGACAGGGGAGTAAATACAAGTACTGCTATGGAATCTAAACCCTCAACCCTTAACCCTAAACCTAAAGCCAAACTCTAAACGCTAACCTTGGGTACTGCCCTCCCTCAGTAACAGTTGGATAATAATTATGATATGGTTATATATAGCCCTTAATAGGACACCTAATATAGACTGTTACTGGGTGGGGGCAGTTCCCAACCCTAACCTACACTCTAAACCCTAAACCGCTCCCTCTCAAGCACTAGTTGGTCAAGTCAGGGCTCCCTGCAAGGTAGGGACTCTTAGATGGCTTACCGGGACGCCTTAGGATTTTAAAGATAAGGCTTATAGGGTTTAGGATTAGTAGAGACTAAGGGAATATAATATGTGGGAAGTAATGTAGGGTTATATTCCCTTGTTCCCTACTAGAACCTATAAATAAGCCCTTAGAAGGACTCCTTAGGATTTTAAAAGAGCTTGAGTTCAGAAGCTTGGAAGGATTTCCCTGAGGGTCCAAGGACCCAAATAATAGGGTTTTAGGTCCCAAATACCATGAATATTATAGTTTTTGGGCCTCCCCTACTATTTGGGTCCTTGGACCCTGAGGAATCTGTAGGGAGGGCCTATCACACCTTCGTTTGTGCCTGGGCATTCTTGCCACACGAGAGGTCTCTCAAAATTAAAGGTCTGGGTTTAGGGTTTAGGGTTTAAGGGGTTTTTATCACAAGGATTATCGTAATCTGCGGTCCAAATTGGAGTCCCGCTATTTATGGAAACTACTGTGCCATACGGGTTTGAGGGGTTGGGGGCTCTTGGCAATCTGGTTTTGGTTTAGTGGGGCATGAGATCGTTAGGGGATGACCTAAAACTCGAGTGCGGTCGGAAGGCGTGGCCAGACCGACCCGGTTTTTTGCCTGCGCCACCTGCGCCGGCTCCGCCGTTGCCACGCGCCAGCTGCACCACCTGCGCCACCCGCGCCAGGCCCCAGCTGCACCTGTGCCAATGCGCCACCTTGCCTGCGACCTGCGCCACCTGCTCCACCTGCCATGCGACGCCACCTGCGCCAGTTGCGCCAGGTGCGCCATCCCGCCCCAGTTGCGCCAGCTGCGCCAGTTGCGCCAGTTGCGCCACCTG